GGCATGAATAGGATTGTGGTCGAGGCCAGTCAGGACATAAAGCCCTTGAATTCTATCTCAAAAAGGAATGGGACTCACTTCCCCTGCCTGTAAAATGGGATCTAGCATCACCACCTCACCAACAGTTAAGGTTGAGTGAGACCACAGAAGGAGAGAACGCCTCACAAGTTACAGAGCTGAGGTCCTGTTAGCTGAGGCTCCTGCCACTGGGTCGCCCACATACATGCAGCACCCAGCCTAGCCCAGCCCAGCCCGCCAGGCTCACCTGGAGGGCGCTGAGGGACAGGCCACGGGTCTGCAGCGTGGGGATGCGCTCGGCCAGGTAGCGCACCTTCTCAGCCTCGCGCTCTTCGTGCTCCTGTTCCCAGCACTCCTTGGCCTTGGCCAGCATCAGGCTCTGAACAGGACAAACCCACTGAGCCAGAGGTTGGGCTTCATGTTCCCCACTGGGCATCAGGCAGTGAGGGAAGATGACCCTGGCTGGGCCAGCTCTGAGACCATCACTCGGTGGGGCAGTGGGTAGGGGTCATGTATATTGAAATTCCCTGGCACCAGCTTGTGTGTCCCTCGGTCTTCTCTTACACACTTTTGTCCATTTCAGCCCACAGTGCTCAAAGAGAGAAACCTGCCAAAATGAAATATGTCCCTCTGCCCCGCCCCCCCTCCCTGCCAAGGATTGCCCCTCTGAGACTTGTCAGTGTTGCCTCCCAGGCCCCCAGTGGTACCACTTCCTGACCATCTGAGCCTGGTACCGGCTCCAGCAACAGCCAGGCTTCCTCTGTCTCTCATCATCTTTGCTCTGGTCTGTTTTCTTTCCCCTCCCTTGACCCTCTGCACTCCTCAAAGTCTGCACTGCCACCACTCCTTCTCCCACCAGAAGTCCCCAGGGCAACATTCAGCCTCACCTTCAGCAAGAGTTTGCGGGAAGCAGTGATCTTGGATTTCCTCTGAGGGTAAGAAGAGAGAAAGACAGGTGGTGAGGTTGAGGCTTTAACACTGGAATTCTGAACCAGCTGGAGTTTACCATCATTACCCAGAATCCTCTGCCTTCCTTAGGGTTCCTTAAAATCTCATCTTTGTGACTTAACCCCTCAAATTCAAAGAACACTGTGGTCAGCTACTTTGACCTAGGGGCAAAAGCCCTCTCTTCCCATCCTAGCTCAGCTAACTTATGACATCTTCAAGCACCTCCTCATCTGTAATGGAGAATGCTAACTAACATCCACCTTCCTTCCTTAGTTCACAGAGTAATTACAGATTATATGAAAGTGCAGATGTGCAAATCCTTCGAAAAGCCTGAGACATGCCCATTTTTAGCACTCTAGGTAAGTAATGCAGCCTTATCTTGATGCCCTGTCATGCCAGAGATATAAGCTGAGAATTGCCCAAATAAATGAAGCCTATTTATGTAGACATCAAAACATTTAAAAAGTCAACATCATCCATATAAATCTAAGATATAAAATTACTGTTTCTCTTCTTATCAAACTACTAGCCATATTCTTGCTGACCAGATAGGTTCTAACAGGTCTTAGTAAATGCCAGCCCAGTCGCAAGTGTCTCTCAGGTGTGGTAAAGGTGACCAAGATGTCCCTTCTAGTAACTAATAGGAACTGAAGTCTTTGAGCCCTCATATCTCTCCTGGACAGGCTCTTCTTGTTCCCAGTGAGCATCCTACCTACTTCTAACATGCTATATGCGGAAAGAGCAGAACTCTGGTTTATTACTATACTGTGGAATGTAGAAACGAGCAAGCTTTAGGTAGTTTTGGGAGACAATGCTTTAGTGCATGGAACATGCAACTTTTTTTTTTTTTTTGAGACAGGTTCTTTCCATAGAGCCCAGACTGGCCTCAAACTTGAGATCCTTTTGCCTCAGCCTCCTGAGTGCTGGGATTACAGGTGTGTGCCAATACATCCAGACCAGAATGTACACTTCTGATCAGACTGTTTGAGTCATTTATCTTTTCATCTCTGAAAGCCTATATTTTTGCCATACTTCAGATGGGTTCAACTTGAAACAAATGGCCTGTTGCTATAGCCGTCACCACCGTGGTGTACACACTGGGAGGCACCCAGGGCCAATGTCCTTTTGCAGGCTTTTTCTTCCACTAGTCAGTGAACTCATGACCACATCATTTGACCGTGAGTCAACAGGGTCTCCTTTAATAGGGTCCTCAGCAAAACTTAGACCTTATTAAGATTATTGAAAAATAACATTTGACTCTCACTAAAAATCTCTAGGCCAAGTGTCCCTTCCATCAGTGATAATTCCCACCCCCACTGTCCCTGAGTCCACAGCATTTTCCCTTCAGGCTCCATCCCTGGGCTGTCCAGGGATTTATTCAGCAGCCTGAATAAATCTGGATTGCAGAAAATGTCAGGGTGACCAAAACCCCTAGAGAACTCTAAGGACACATCTTTGCTCCTCTCAGAATGTTTGGTCCTAACCTTCACCCTTCAGGTGAGGCTTTGCACAGGATCAGCTCTGCAAGGGACAGGATGGAGCCCCCACGGATGGATGAGCTTTCAGAGTCGGTGAGAGGGAACTTGCATGTGGGGAGGGCATAGAGTCACACCCAGACCTACAGCATGCCATCTCAGCTCCAGGAATACCTGTCAGTGGCAGGTGCCTCAGTGCTCTGAGGCAGTGATGCCGTAGATCCTGGGAAGCCCCACATCCAGAATCTTCACCCAAGGTTTTTATTATCCTGGGAATTTTCTCAGCCACTTGGGTTCTCGCCCACCCCCTGCCCCATACCCCACAACCTGGCCTTGACCCAAGCTCTCTCCTCTCCTCAAATGCCCACCCCACCTTCACCAATCTGAAGAGCTAACCAGCACAGAGACACCACAGATATCACTTACCTCGCTTCAGGCATCCATCACAGGAAGGACAAGGAAGAGAGCAGAACAAAGAGCAAGTGTGAACAAAGTATATTACATATGCAGGAGCAGAACTGTACAAACGAGCTTGGAGGAGGAGAGGGCTGGTGACAACAGTATGCCAGGAAGAAGTCAGACAGGGGGATCAGGTTGAGGGTTCCAGCAGAAGAGAATCAAAACCCAACCACTCTTTTACTGGATGTTCTTATTGGGAGGTCATGGGAGCCTGGGGGGAATTGGCAGGAAGCCAGGCAAGCCTTGACAGAGGGCTGGCTGGAATAATGCAAAAGTTTCTATCCCTGAGCTTGTTGGTGAGGTCTCAAAAGTTTATTCACCTGGCGGGCCCATGAGAAGTCATGGCCTGGCACATGTGATTTGTCAAGTTAGTGCACCCAGGCCAACTCTAAAGAATAGGCCAAAAATGTCTTCTTGCGGCAAATTGGGTGAGTGAGTTCCGCTCAAAGGCTGGGAGGACTCCTGACCACCAGGAAGCCACCAAGTGCTTCATAGGACTCAGGACTCATCCTGGTCTCCTGGGATCAACTTAGGTTGAACGGATGGTCCTCAACTACGAGGCCAAAGTCTGTGGCACAAGGACTTGCCTCCCAGAACCCTGGGTGGGGGTGGGACAACTTACACTTCCGGCATGGTGGTGGTAGAGCAGCACCTAGAGGAAGCAGAGGGATCATTAATGGGACAAATTTTAACTCCTGCCTCCTCCCAGCAGGGTCCTGGGGGACAGCAGCCTAGTCCGGGAGAATCAGAGAACAGGAAGAAGAAATCAGACACAGCAGATTTCAGCAGGGCATGATTCAGCAAGCTATAGCTTCCCTAGGCCAAACTACTGTTTTTCTTAAAAGGAGGTAAAGCAAAGAATATGTGAACAAAAACCTGACTACCCCAGTGGGGAACAGAATAAAATCCCTTAGAAAACACAACTGGAAAGCAAGGATCATGAGTGCCTTGAGCAAATTGAATTAAGACTTCACTCTGTGAACAGGATTAAGATAGGGGGAAGAGGGGAAAGGTGAGTGGAGCAGAGTGGAAGCTGACATGAAGGTTGCTGCCACGGGGCACAACTCCAGAGGGTGCCACTCAGTAGATGATTGGCAGCCCTGGGTAGGTGGTGGGAGTCTCCAAATGGAAGGTGTTAAGCTGGGAGGCGGGGAAAACCTTCTGTTCTACTCAGGTCTATTTCTATCCTCTCTGAGCCAGTTTTCCTCTGTAAAATTAGGGCTTAGGTAAGTGGTTTGCCACTTAATATTTAGCGCTTGAACCCTCTGTTCAAACCACATCTTACACGGAAGCAAAGCAAGATCGATCACTAAGGCAGAATGGCACTAGTGGAAGGGGTTGCCATAGATGGTCCATGGCCATAAAGCACAGGACAGGTGGTCCCTGCCCAGGCCAAGGAGACATTCTTGGGACTGCAAAGGATGCTTCAGGGCCAGATCTGACTCGCCATCTTGCCTAGGTCCCAACATAGAGCATCCCAGGGGAAATGAAGGGAGGGATTATGCCAGGCTCAGGAGAATGAGGGACAGCTGGGGTAGGGACAGGTGGGACAGGAAGCCTGAACTAGGTTATGCAGTGAACAGTGAGAGGGACCAGGTGTGTACAGACAGGGTGAGCCCTGTGAGTCCACAGCATGGACTTAGCTCAAGAGCCTGGTTTGCAGCAGAATCTAAAGGGTTCTTGCACATGCTGAGCAGTCATTTCACTTCAGAGCCCCTCTGTTCTCTGCCCCAATTCTCTCCTTTCCCTTTGTGCCCATGAATCCTCCAAACCCAATATGACCAGGCTTCATCTCTTCTCCAGTGCTTCCCTGTTAGAGAGACTTCTGGGCTTCTACCTCTGCCACAGAGGAGAGTGAGGCTGGGGTAGAACAGGTGGAGGGGAGGGAGGAGATCTCAGAGTCTCAGCTGTCACCCTGGGGCACAGAGGGAGAGGTGTGGAGACTATTTCTACATTCCCCAGATACTTGGCTGAAATTAGATTTTAAAGGCAGCTGCTTATTCTGAGAGCCCAGCTCCTCCAAAGACACAGAAGAAGTTAAAAAAAAAAATGCTAGCTAGTGAAGACCATTTCAACATCTGTCTGTCTCCTGGGAATGCTAGTCTCCAGAAAGCATGGCATCTCAGTCAAGAAAACCTCCTGTCTATCTCTCTGGGATGTGGCTTGCCCTTGGTGGGCATCTGGCCACAGCTATCCTCCCTCTGTCCCTCAGAGAGCCCACTGTTGCCAGTTTGGGGCCCACCTGCCCAGGCCAGCCTAGGCCTCCTGCCAAGCTACAGGGCTTGCCCCCAGCATGGCGCATTGACAAATGCCAGACCAAGGGGTCCTGCGTCAGGCACCAGGCCCAGGCCTGTGCTCTGACACCCACCAGATGGAACTCCTTGACAGGCCCTGCAGAAGATAAGCAGAGACCTGATAAGAAGTCAGGATGTAGATAGAAGCAAATGCAAGGCTTGAGAGCCGGATTCCATCTCCCCCAAAAGTAGAAAGCAAGGAGATAATCAGAAAATCCACAAGTGGAGGGAGGGGGCACCCCTCTGGTGCCTGACTCAGGGCTCGGCTTTCCCTGTTCTGAGGCCCTAGGCTTGTCTACTAGACTGAGAGATGACGGCTGTGTGTGTGAGTGTGTAAGTAAGTGTGTATGTGAGACAAAGACAAGCACAGAGAGAAAGAGAGAGTATGGAAATGAACTGACCTCTTGACACATCTAACAGGGACACAAATACCTAGTTAGGCTCATGCTCTACCCTTGCTCCCCATCCCTGACCTTGGACCCCAGTTCAAGGGCATCCCCATCCTTCTCAACTGACCGTTAACAAGGCTAGACTCCTGAGCCTGTGACTTGGGCTGTCTGCCACACTCCACCTTGAGTTCTGAACACAGAAGTTTAATGTGGGAGTCTGTGACTCCTACACCTGGGGCAGGTGCTGCCTTTTATTCCCTTTCTCAGAAACCGCCACACCGCCCACTCCCTGTATCACGCTGTGGATAATGCCCTAGCTTACATGGTCACGCTCTTTCTTAGGCCCTACCCTCAATGCTGTCACCATCTGCCTTCCCCCCAGGAGGACCCCCAACAACACCTTCTGCTCCTCAGAGCCAGGAGTGGTAAAAGGAGGTTGACAGTCCACTCTCGCATGCTTGTGTCCTACTGTACAGATGGGATGGGCAAAGGGAGCTCAATGCACCCCCCAAAGACAAAGGACAGAGAGGTCGGATGGTTTCCTCAGTCAGTGGGGACTCTGGTCCTGCCTTGGAGCTCCCCAAGAGTCCTGCATGCTGGAGCACCTTCTTTCCCTTCCATTGCAGCCACTGCTCAAGCTTAGTGCTCCCCAGGTGTCTCTAAACTTTCAAACGCAGCCCCTCTGCCTCAGCTCCCAATCTCCAGGGCCACACCTATCCCCCAGGCTCCTGGGCTGCACCCAACTGGTCAGTCACTCATGAGAAACACCATCCACCAGACTCTGCTCATGAGGAACCTGCTCCCCCAGTGAAAGCTTTCACCTCCCACCCACACCTTCCCTGGGACAAAAGGCTGGGAGTATTTGGGGAATGTTCCACCAACAAACCCACAGGCAAGAAACAAACATCTTCCATCTCCAAGACTTTGCTTCCTCCTTATTAAACAAATGCCCCAGCTTCTCTACCTGGCCTTGAGTTAGGTCTGTAGTCCGAGGTTGCAGACACTTACCTTGTTCAGTCCTGTGGAGCCTGAGCCTCGCAGCAGACTGCAGACAGTGGAGGGACAGCACTGAGGGCAGGCTATGAAAACTGTGGCCAACGGCAACTGGCCAGTAAAAATAGAACAGCCCCACTGCCCCTCCTCCTCACGCCCTCCCACTACACACACCTCACAGGGCAGCTGCACACTGCCATGCACACGATGGGCACACGGGCTAAAAGACCAGTGGATGTACCTCAGGAGTACACACAAGCACTGTGCACACAGAGGCCACCAACTGAGGAAAACCAACTCTGCCTGGGGGAAAGGGAGAGTGAAGAGCCAGACCGGATGTGGGGACTGAGCAGAGATGGGACTAGGAAGGAGAATGAGGGACCAGGAGGGGCACTGGGAGGTCTGGAGGAGCGGACAAGGACTGGGGTAAGGGAGCTATCAAGCTGACCTTTCCTGTCTTACAAGGAAATGCAGAAACCAAGCTTCCAGCCCAGGCTTCAAAAGCCTCAGAGGGCTGAAGAAACGACTTTCAAGGATTATTTATGACCCCAGTGTACACGAGATAGGAAGATGCTTGTGGGGTTGGGGAGAAGGGGATCCAGGGACCCCAAGATATGATTCTATGGCAAGCTGAACAGCAGTGGCAGCAAGGCCACCTTACGCTCATGGAACACTCATCCAGATACTCTGCACCCCCTCCAGGGGGCCCCCCACACGCCAGGTTCCCAACGGCACCTTACATCCCATGCCCAGAACTCAGGGAGACTGGCTCACCTCTCCCCACCTAATCTTTATCACTAACCAGAAGCTAGTCGACTCCAGGAGGCTGGGTTTGCACCTGTTTGCTGGGTATTTTTAGGACTGTTGATGGACACATAATACCCACTCTATAGTCAGGGAAAGACAATGCCTGCTATGTTAATCCCGGGGCTATTATAGTCGGTCATGTCATGGGCCAGGATCCCAGGCTGGGGCAGGGCAGGCAGGACACTGACCTCTCTGGGAGGCCAGAGAGAGGCGTGTAAACAGTAGGAGGCAAGGCAGCTCTCACCACGCTCCCCACTGGGGAGGTAGGCAGGGGAGTCCTAAGGAGATGCACTCCTCAGTGTCCACAGAAGGGCAAAGGCCATGTGGACACTGACATTCTGCTACCTAGCAGAGGTGGCTCCAATCCCGTTTTAGTCAGGTCAACTTTGGGAAGCCTTCATGCTAGGAGAAAGGACAAGGTCCAGGCAACTATGGAGTTGGGGCATAGGATTCCAAGTGGAGGGGTTGGGTGGAAAACAAAGATAGCACCACCCACAGCCCCAGGGGCAGCTGGGGTCAGAGGAGGACTCTTGGGTCTTGGGAGATGAGTCTACTGACTCATCCTTGACTTTTTATGTTTGTCATTTATACAATAATTTCCTTGAGACTTTAATATACACCAAAAGTGAATTGTGTGTATGAATTAATCCTGCTTTTTGAAAAGAAAGAGAGAACAGAGTGACAAATAGAAGTGCAAAAGAGGGACAAGACGAGTTTAAAAATTAGGTGACCTGATGTTCACAGCCGGATGTGTTACATGCAATCCATCCCGGGACCCTTCCATCTGCAGAACCCACATGATCCTGGAATCCAAGGGTCTGGGTCTGTTATTCATCTGCAGAAACTATTGCACAGAGAGCAAGATCCCTTGTCCTGTGTCCCAGTGTCCCGACTCCATTCCCACCATCCCTCCACACCATCTGCTCTCCCGCATCCAGCTCTCCACTTTTGGGTCCACCCTGACCCCTGGCTCCAATTCATGTATGGAGGGAAGCAATGGTTTTTCCCTCAGGTACACCAACTTCCCTAGGCTCTCTCTCCTGCTGTGGCTCAGAGGTGTCATTCAAAACAAAGACTGTTGTGTCCTGTCATCCTTGCACCTGACCCAGTCTTCTCGCCCTACCTGCACCTATGTAGTGGGCGCAGAGGCCTTCAGAGCCCTCCTACAGGCCTGTGATCTCTGGCAGGAGGCTGCCCCCATCCAATTAAGGAGCCACTGCTGAATGTCTGATCTGCCACCCTGATCACTGCCCTCTGCAGTCTTTCTTCTGTCCTCCTTGCTTACAGAAAAGGACACCCTCTCTCACTGCACATGTGTCCAGGGGCCATGTCACCTATTTCCCATTCTGCCTGCAGAGCAGAAACAGCTGTCCTGGAGCTATGAGGTTATGTCTGGCACAGATGCTGGGGAGGACTCTTGCCAGACATGGAGCCAGAAACAGTGCTCATGGCCCTGGCAGATCCCCAGGCAGAGATCCCTGTGGTCAGCTGGATAATGGTCGCCCATATCCTAATGAAAATGTGAACATGGTACCTTGAATGGCAAAGGGATGTTGCAGATATGATTAAATTGAAGGGAGGATGGTAGCAGGTTATCTGAGAGGGCCGATCTAATCACAGAGTCTTTATAAGTCTGAGGCATAGAGATCAGGATTGGTAGAAGGAGTCGTGGCAAGGGAAGCAGAGGTCAAAGAGGAGAGAAATGACCATGAGCCAAGGAACACAGGCAGCTGCTAGGAGCTAGAAATGGCAAGGAAATAGTTCTTTCACTGGGCCTCCAGAGGGAAGCAGGCCTGGTAGCGCCTTGTCTTTCAGGCACTAAAGGATTTTGGACTTTAGTCCTTCAGGACTGTAAGATAATAAACTTGGGCTGGTTTTGGATCGCTGACTTTGCAGGGACTTGTTATAGCAGCAATAAGAAACTAACACTGTCTCCAGTGCCTTGCCGGCCCCTAACTTTATGGTTCAGGTGTGCTCGGGGCCAGCCAAGAAATCGTTGGGCTTGGCAGGGCCAGTGAGAACCAGCCCAGGTTGAGTGTCCCCAGGGCAAAGCAACCCTAAGACAGAGTTTCACAAATCCTTGGCCAGAATCCAGCCCCACTAAGGCCTGGCCTCCCTGAAAGCCAGCTGAGTGGATCATAGGATGTCTGAGTAGGAAAACCCTCCAGTCTAATCTGTGCCCAGGAGGAAACCAAAGCTCTGAGGAAAGGCCACATGGTTAGTGGGTCTGGTGTCCTACCTTGCAGCCAGGTGCCTCCATCACACTGCCCCTGAAGCAACACGTCTCTGACTTCAGTGTCAGCCTAATTCTAACTTTTCTGCTGTCTCTCCTTTAAATCCTGACATAACCATTTCCCTGCTTTTAATCCTAGGAGAGTAGATACCATTCATGCAAACCTCAGAAGACAGCATTCCCTCCTATGGCACTCAGCCCCATAGGCAGAGGACTTCACCCAGGGTGGGCTGCATTCAGGCCCCTGGCCTGGCCTGCTTGGCACCAGCAGGAGATGGATGATATACACAACACACCTGGAGCCTAGGGCTAACCTCCTACAGCCTTCACCTACCTGCTCTCTACTCTCATTTGGTTTCCTGAGGTGGTCCTTGCCCTCTTTCAATCCACTTTGCATATAGCACACAAAATGCTAAAACTGGTCTTGTTCTAATGCTTCATCCAGTTTTGTGTCCATGCGCTATTCTACTCTGAGCCAGTGAGTTCACTCCACCTCCCAGTCCCAGCATCATCATCCCTAACCTTAGTGCAGGCCTTCTAGACCCTAATCCAAAGGTAGACATACACCAAAATTGACCCAACTTCACCATGTTTTCTGGGGACCTTGGCTTCCTCTAAAGATGTGACCCAAGAGTGGACCTGGCTTCTAAGGGGCGCCCCCTCCCCTCCTAGAGACAAGGCAGGTGGTCTTCCCTTTGCATCTTTTTAAAGTCCAGGGAGAGTCTGAGGCAGCTTGGGCCAGATTGCTGACCCTCAAGAGAATGGCCTCTGTGGTCAGAGTCACTCACAGCTTCTGTGGTTCCCCAGCTCAGTTGGAAATTGACAGACCCATTTCCAGGAGGAAAAACTGCAGAACCAGGTCTTGCCAGGTCTCAGGGGGAAGGGGCAAGTCCAGGAAGTCAGGAGGAGGTTGGTAAAGGAGAAGGAGGGGAGGGGCAAGTCCACATTCTGGTCTCACTGACTTCTTGGGCCTCCTACAACTCAAAAGTCCACAGGGCAAAGGAAGGAAATGTGTAGCCAGAAGAGCTAAGCCTTGTAAGGCCATAAACTGTAGAGTCAGGTCCCTGTCACCTCAGTGGCAAACACCTGTCAGTCCCTGGCTTCCCTGATGTTGTTTGGGAAGCAGAGGAGCCCAAATTAGCAAGTGACATGGTCCAGCCCATTGCCCTGCCAGCAGGCCTTCCCCCATTGCTCAGGGGCCATGCCTCAGTGACACCTAAGCAAAAGCCCACCACCCATGTGTCAGACCCACCCGTTGTGTCCAGAACTAGGTGTCTGCAGTTGACCTGAGAGGGGCAGGGCAAGGTGGTGATGAACCACATGGGGAGGATGGGGAGGGTGGGGAGGGAAGAACTGAAGAGACTAAAGCAGGAAGAACAAAAAACCAATCAAAAGGCTGTCACCCCTTAATTCTGCCACCATGTGCTAGGCAGAGTCACAGCCTAGTACAGCAAGTCAACACTCAACTCTGGAAGCAGGCAGCTCTGCCACTCACTAGGAGCCCCTCTGGATAACTTGAGCAGTTTGACCTTCTGAGATCCATTTCCTCTTCCATAGAATGGGGAAAATACTAGTGCCTGCCTCACAAAGGGCTCTGCCAGTGTCTGGCACAAGACAAATATTTAACAGCTCTTAGTTCATAGCATGTTCTCATCACAGCCTTGCTATCATTCTGAGGTAGGTGCTATTGTCAGTCCCATGTCACCAATGAGGAAATGGGGGCTCACAACATCCAGGCCACTCACCCGACATCCCACAGCAAGGAAAAGGCACATAGGTCCCTGATGACAAAATCTGAGCCTGGAACATAGCAAATGTTCAATAAACCCTTCAATGCTTATTTCCTAAGGTTTTTACTTTAGGTAACATTGTGGCTTCCACCAGGAATTTGGAGTGACCAGCTTGGCCCCCCTCAAAGCAACATATAATTCATTCCAACATTACAAATTGTCAGTGATGCTTTGAGTTACTGGTTCTTGTAAGAAGTTTGGCCATATAGCAACAAATAGTGGTTCTTAACCATTATTTTTGACACTGAGACACTAAAAGGAAGAGGTCCTTCAGGGAGGTCTGGGTGTGGTAGAGATCTGACAGGGTAAGTGAAAGCAAAGGAGAGGCCCACAGAATGCAGAGGGTGAGGACAGAC